CTCATTACTCCAAATTCCTTCTGGAGTCAGCGAGCCATAGGAAATTCTGGGGGATGTGGTAGCTAAATTAAGGCTTAAGTGATACTGAATTCAGAAAGGGAAGCCTCATCATATAAAAGAGAGGTGACACCTACGCTGTCTGGTTTTTGAAAGGGAAAGAAGTTAATTCATTTCAATTAAGTTTTAACACCCATTTTCTGGATCCTGTGGGAATAGTAATAGTTCATGTCTTAAGTGCTAAACACTTGGCTTTTTCCTATTACTTAGTTCTAACTGTATTTTCTATGCCTCAGAATCAAAACAAATAATTTACTGAATAGAGTGATTCTGCTTCTTTGAACTACCTTAGTGGACCCAGGAATTTAATTAGTAAATTTGAAGATGTCCAAAGCATGTTGCTGTTCTTAGTATCAATTTTGATGAAATTCCTGAATAGTGGCTGGATGTTCTTGGTTTCTACTTAATGTCATGTGAAAAGATGAAGATAAAAAAAAAATCAACCAAATTAATAATAGAGATCTAAAATATGTGCTATGCTGCATGATTACAGACTGTCAACATTGCTCAGCTCCTAGAAAAATTTCTTACATTACATTTCTTACATTACATTTGTGCAGATATTTACTGTGGTATTTTTACTACAGAGCTTGTGACAATCTGAATCAAATGTCACTAAACTTGTTTTCTTTTTAAACAATTTTCTTCTCTTTTTGCATCCTCATGCAGCTAATATTCCTTTAATCTGCGCTCAGCATCATTTAATGCTCTCTGACCCTTCTTAAGTCGTCTGCCTTGCTTTCATCTGTTTAGATTTTGTTCCCTCTCCTTTTCCAAGAAATCTCTTTGCCTGACAGTCATCAGACCATTTCTTCACTCCCCTAAGACCCAGCTGCAAAATCAATTCTGTCTGCACTGCTCAAACCCCTTTGAGACTTTGAAACTAAAAGCTGAAGAAAAGTAGTATGCCAGCTGTTCAGTCTGAATGCATGAGGTGTGACTAGGAAAGTCTCCTTAACCTACAATTCAGCACCAAAGTATATGCGTGTATATATATATATAAATATATATATATATATATATATATATATATATATGTAAACTCCAACACATGCTTTGGCTGAATACAATGCCTACAGTTCCTATATGTAAAACTTATATTCCCAAAAACCTGTTCTCTGGTTAGATATTCTAGGTAATCTGAGTTGCCATGCCATGTGCATTTTGGGGCAAAGTGGGCAAAATAAATGTATGCAAAATAAAGCAAATTATACAGTTTTAACTTTTTCTCAGAAGCTTAAAAGGTTTTCCAGAACTAGGCTTCTATAACATAATTTCTCTTCTGTAATAACAGAGTGGTGTCATACTCAATATGCAATTGAGACCTCTGCAGAGAAAGTTATATATTTGGGCTAGGGATTTTCCAGAAATGAAAGTCCAGAATCTATATGGTCATTCTTGAACTGTATGGCATCTAAAATTAGTACAATTCAACGTGAATTACAGAGAGAACTCTTACTTTGTCTATCAGAATTCATTTACATAAATGCAAAATTGCTATTCGTATTTCTGGACACAATTTTTTTTTTCAAATTCCCCTGTAATTTTCACCCACCTATCAATAAGCATAAATCCCTTCTCTCACATTACTTGTTGTTGTCTATCTGCTTGTGACAGTAAATGAAAGCAATTAGTGGGATTCTCAACTAATTTGTGACTAGCATTGACACAAAGCCCTAACAAAATTATTTTCAGTTGTGCAGGAAATTTTACCCAATATCTAAATATTGCTTTAGTTGCAGTTCTGATAGTATTTTTAGCATCAGAATTATTTTTTTTTTTTAATTTTTATTTGACCAATAATGTCAAAATGGACTTCTGACTCTTGGCACAAAGCTCCATAAATTCTGTTTCTTTACACAGCAATGGTCACACTCAGCGTAGTTATAGTGTACCAAATGTGTTTAAAAGTATGTCTTTTATATGGTCTAATAACTCAAAATGTACCAAATGTATTTTTTTTTAAAAAAATGTCTTTTTTATAGCTCTCTGTGGAGGAAATATAACTGCAATGAATGGCACCATATACTCTCCTGGATACCCTGATGAGTATCCAAACTTTCAAGACTGCTTCTGGCTTGTAAGAGTACCACCTGGGAATGGAATCTACATCAATTTCACGGTTCTTCAAACTGAGCCAATATATGATTTCATAACTGTCTGGTAAGAAAACACTGTTGGCATTTATTTAATCTTCATGTGACACTATATAACAAAGCATGAATTTAAAAGAATATATTTGTGGTTTTATCCTTGAAACTGATGTTCTCTGTAGGCCAAATGAGTGGGTTGTGCCAATTCATGTTTTGCAATGGACCATTCCCTTTAGGTAGAACTGGACAAGAATTCAAAACCAGTAATAGTGTTCCTCAGTTTGTCGACAAGAGCATGCAGAAATGTGTTATGACAGCTCATCAACAACCAAGAGAAATAATACTTAAGAAAGAAGTGATAATAAGCGTTTGCAGATGTGTGTGTTAGTGGTTTAAAGTGTTAGTACTAGAAAATGCAGCAACACTTTCCTAAGTTCTTCCAAGTTGGCTCTTTCTACTTATAAGAGTACATAAGACTATTTGTATCTGGCCATGACAAAAGGAGTTATTTTCTCTATATACCTGCATCCATGTCTATCATGGCTCTGCATGATAACCTGTCACCCTCATCAGCAGCCTATCACATTAATCCCTCCACCACATATCTCAAGACATTTCATGGCTTCAGGCCTCATTCCTATACATGCGTAAAAATTGTATTATATACGTGATGTCTATAGAATTATATAGCTTATGCCACTTCTGGGATATTAATTGTTTACAGAACTGATCGAACTTTCTACAGAAGCTTCCAATGGAAAAAACCACATTTTATTCCCAATTCAAATGTTTCAAAGCATATAATTTCTCTAATAAAACAGAGGTAGAAGAGTCAATGTGTCAGAATTTGGAAAACAAAATTTTCAAAATAAAAATATCCATATTTTTATTATAAATTTATTTTTGGTTAAAATAACAATTGAAAAAATTGACTTTAAATTTCTATTATTTAATGTCTGTCAATTCTGATCTGAAAGGAAGCACATATGAACATTTAATGCCCTTGTACTCTGATTCTGTCCTCTGTACAGTTCAGTTGCACTGTTGTTTAGTACTTTGATTTAATTTTTCTACTGAAATTAGAAATTTCTACTGAAATTCATTTTCCATAATGTTGCAATGATCTTACCAGCAGTACATGTATTGTCTGAATCTTAATAAATTGTGCAAAATAATATCGGTAAATGCATGAGAAGAAGACTTTGCGTATTAGGTTTATTTATTTATTACTTTTGAAAGTATAGCTACACAAAAGTAATCAGAGGTTGTGGCAAGAAGATGAAGAACAACCACAAATTCAATAATTTTGAGTTTGTTTCGATTTTGATTTGAAAATAAGAAAATTACTTTCAAAAGGTTGTGGAATTAGGATCCAATCTACACAGGATTTGAAAAGGCCTTCAACCCTTCATGTCTGTTTTTTCTTATTTTAGTTGTCTTCTGCCTTTTAGAGTAATCTACAGCAAAATTACTGCAATTATTTAAAAATTAGAGAAATTGTATCATTTGATGGGACAAAAAAAAATATTTGTGTGTTTGTTTTTCTTAGGGATGGACCAGACCAAACTTCTCCCCAAATTGGACAGTTTAGTGGCAACACTGCCCTAGAATCAGTCTATAGCACTTCCAATCAGATTCTGATCAAGTTTCACAGTGACTTTACTACTAGTGGCTTCTTTGTTCTTAGTTATCATGGTAAGTGTGACAAATTTCTCTGTTTCACTGTCTGTAGTGGTCACTGCAGGCAGACAACTCATGAGAAAATGAATTACTTTTCCTAAGAAGAGTTGCTATTATTAGTATGACTGACCTGCACTAGTGTAATGCAAACATATGAAGGACTAATATGAATGATGAAAATAAGCTAGTTTCTTGAACAAATAAAAAAAAAAAAACAAAAACAAAGTGATGAGACAGGAACGAAGAATGTAGCAACAAGACCCTAAAGTTCAAGGTAAATGTCTTCCTACTGCTTATGATGCTTCTAAACTTCCTTTGAAATCTAAATGTTTTTGGAGGACATTAAATTTTTCTTAGTAATTGGGATATTTTGGAGAAAGCATTGGGGTATTTTGAAGAAAGTAAGTGGAATATTTGAAGAAAGCACCTCTACTTTTTTTGTAGAGATGCCAGTGATAGTGAACTATACTGTGTAGTTAACATTAGTGTACCCTGGAATTAACTACCAACTGCATGAAAATGGGTAAAAATAAATGCTACCTCTCTCTGTAATTATTCAAACCCTCTGTGGCCAAGTGTGTTTGCATTCCTATAACTACAAGGAAACAGATCCATTAGTAAGGGTGTTTTTAGGTGCTCCATGAATGCCTGCTGGAATGACTATTCTAGAAAATATTGACAAACTTCAGTCTACTTCCTGCATCCTGATCAAATTCTGGGACTAGAAGACTTCCTTTTTGACTTAGTAAAGACTGTGGTGAATATAGATAGACAGAATTTATGGGATCAGAGGAACCTTAATCTAAACAAAACAAAGCAAAACAAAAATGACCTAAAGCTCACAATGAAAAAGACCACCAGCAACAGCACTTGAATTGATTGCAGGATATAGACTCCAGTAGAGCTAGGTAGAGAGGGGTGGCAGTTTCTATTCGAAATCTTGGCATCTAAGTTGCATGTATCAGCTTGTGAAGGACAAAAATGACACTTTCTATTCATTACATATAAATTGATATTTATTGTTATCTATTAATATATCAGTATTTGACAAAAAATATGCAAAAACACTCATGGAAACATGGAATTGTTCAGGTTGGAAATGAACTTTAAGATCATTGAGTCCAACTGTAGACCCAACACAGCCAAGTCCACTACTAAATCAGGTCCACAAGTGCCAAATCAACGCATCTTGTAAATACCTCCAGGGACTGTGACTTCACCACATTCCTGGGCAGCCTGTTCCAATGGTTTACAACCCCTTTGATCAATAGATTTTTTTCATAATATCCAATATAAGCCTCACCTGGAGCAACCCGAGGCTGTTTCTTCTAGTCTAATCACTTGCTAGTAGTAAAGTGTCTCTAAGGAGCTTATCTTCCTTCTTTCACCTGTTTCTTTTGCTGTGAAAATTGTCATTCCACAGATGTGGGCCGTAATGTGTAATAAGGATGCAAACTGAGCAGCACAAGGATTACTCATGAAGAAACTTAAAACAATCTTTGGATTGATGTTTTCAAGATAAAAAAAACCCTCTCAATATCTTGGAGGCTATGATCCTTCATATCAGCTATACAAAATTTACAGCAATAAAGGAAAAGCTGTGAGAGGAGTCAAATTTATTTCAAATAGATAATTTGGGGAATAAAATTAATGATACTCACCCACAAATGAGAGATATTTGAGATAAATGATACAATTTTTTTTATTGAATCAATTTTTAATTATATTGTGATACTAATTATTAGTTTTCTTAGGATAGCACAGTTGTTTCATGTTTACTTGGTATGTTTTACTTTAAATTGCTTTATCCTAATGTTAGCTTTCTGACTCACTAATTTAAGTAGACTTTCATTATATGATCAACAAAAAGGAGCTAAACTGTCATCTGCCATAAGCAGTTGAGGTTTCAGTGCTAAAGGGAAATGCTATAAAACACCAATTCTGTATGAAAATGCACTTTCAATGAAACCAAGCATACTTCATCCTGACTTTAAAACAGGGAAGTCTACACTGTCAGCATAAATATGTCAATGTGATTTCTTTGGCTAGATTGCTGTCCTCATTGCATTAGGATTAAATGGAATTTTGTCTGTGTCCAGATATGAGTGAATCCTCTTATGTTCTCTGAAAAAAAAAGAATCCGTGTAGCTTCTGCCTACTCTTCGTACTTGTCTTTTTATTTGTTTCACCTAATTATTTGCCTGGCTGCTGCGTCATGTATTAAATCACAGAAAATTATTTCATGTGAGACTTCAAATGAGAATTCTGAAAGCAGCATTGTTCTCTGACCCTATCTGCAGGTGCGGTGTGCTCCACAACTATTCATTTACTGGGAAATTTCACATTCAAAATGCTTCTGTCCATTAGTTTTCTGTCTCTGAGTAGAGTCTTTGGGATTTCAAAGCTTGTATTTATTACAAGGCTTCAAAACTGGAGGAATTCAACAGTAAAAATATATTCTAAAAACAAACAAAAAACAAACAAAAAACTAAACACAGAAAACACCCCCCCCAAAAAAAACCCAACAAAACAAAAACAAACAAAATCAAACAAAACCAAACAAAAACACCAAACCCCCAAACAAGCAAAACAATAGTTTACAATACAAAAATATTTATTTTTTGTGTGAGATCACTTCAGTGAGAAAATTGGTAACCAATTCTATGTTTCTCAGGTTATTTATGAGGGTTTTGCCACTCAAATAAATAACTAATCAAGAACACAGATACAACTTCTGATTTTTTTGTTTCCCTTCTTTTGATTCTCCTGAAAATTTCAAAATAAATTAATAGTTTATTTTTATCCTGTTAATATGGGTATTAAATTGGTTAAGTTTTCATGGCTCTGTTAACTGTTTGAGAATGTCAGCTGTGCTTTGTTTCTGTTTATAGCCTATCAGCTCCGGGTCTGCCAGCCTCCACCAAATATACCAAATGCAGAAATTCTAACTGAGGATGATGAATTCGAAATAGGTAATATAAGAGAAAACAAAAGCAACATTTGTTTCAAAAATAAGCTTGCTGTGTATGGGATGCTTTTCAGGATGAAAAGCATGCCTGTAATATATTAGATTTTTATTTGAAAATCTGTTTTTTTAAGAAGTCATTCCTCTTCCCTATACCTCCTGGATCCCATCTGTGTTTCAGAGATGACATATAAGTAATACAGTAACTCTTCGTAATTGATTTAATTTTAAAATACATTCTTCATACTCTCTAATATAGAACATTGTAATAAACTGAAACAAACAAACACAACCCATAAGAAAATGGTATATTCTGTACCCGAATTAAGGTTGTGTGACCTTAAGGGTAAAAGCAAATTTGTAAAAATTATTAGGATCAGAGAAGGGGATGACATTCTGACTTTCTGAGACATGTAATAATATTAGCCATTTACAGTTCAAAGAAATTTGATTTATATGATCAGATGTCTGATCATATAAATTTCTTTCATATGTCAGATGTCTGATCAGCTAGTTTTGCTCATATGATGGCAAAGAAAAATAAATTTGTTTTTAGTATATACCAATATTTGATTAGTTATATAAGTAACAAAGAGAAAATATTTTTTCCCCTCTCTTCTCTGTAATCTGAGAACTTGGACCAAAGAGAACTAACTTCTGAGATATAAAAATTTCACTTTTACTGTTATATAAAACCATATGAATTATTGATTTCTTAATTAAAAAATGAAGATTTCTTATTCTCACCGTGCCAAATTTAGATATCAACTAAATCCAATTCCTATTTAATTTTGTTTTCCCTCCTCAGGATCGTATGAGTTACTGACTTTATCTAATACCTTTATTTAGTTCCATAATGGTTATCCTATAAATTATATTGCTTAAAGCTCTGTGGACATGTGGTTCACACAGCATCAGTCAAACCTAGACAAATTAGCAAACTATCCAACAAATAATGCGGTAAAAAACAGTGATGGATGCAGCACAGTGTGCAACACAAAGCTCATTTACCACGTTTCTTGAACTAATCAAAGTTGTTTATGCCAGAGGTCATTTAGCCCATTGTATGTGGTGGCAAGAAACTTCATTAATCAATAGTGTTTTCAAAGCTAAAAGTCTCAGTTAATTGCTGTTTAATGTTTCTTTTGTTTGTTTGTGTTTTGTCTTGTTTTCTTTTTCCAAACAGGAGACATAATAAGATACCAGTGTCAACCAGGCTTTACATTGGTTGGTAATGAGATTCTGACATGCCGACTGGGTGAAAGACTTCAGATGGATGGAGCACCACCTTCTTGTCAAGGTTTTTTCTCGTTTTATTTTCCTGCTGCCAGTCCAGCTGAACGGTGATTCCTCACACACCCTCCTTTATTTCTTTACATAAGATGGCATACTGAAACTATTTCAGATTCTTTTATGCTATTCCCAATATATAATTGTTGTGTTTCATATATGTCATATATTAATGCAGAATAATTAATAATCTTTCAATGAATTTTGCAAGTTTGAAAGACTGCTGGTCTACTTTGTGAAGTATTGAAAACTGCAAATAGAGATATAATACCATTTCATTGTTAAAGCTGGATTACAGTCCTGGCAACCACTAACATCACAGTTTAAACCAGTCTTTATTAAACTAAAATTTGATATATTACACTTTAATATATTTTTTCCTTAATTTTAAAGAAAATGTGAGGGTTTTCTTTCATACTAATCTGATTAAGAAGCTAATGAAGATAAACCTTGAGCATGCTCTATGAAAAAAACTGGAATATCTTTGAAGTTCCAGTGGTGGGTGTGTGTTTATGTTTTCTTACTAATTCTTCCATTATTTCCAGAAAGATAAATAAGGACTTTCAGTAATAAACATGTATGATAAAGTCTTTTCTAGAAAAAAAGACCAAAACAAAACACCATAGCCTCCTAAAAGCATAAGTTATGTAAACAACAGTCATTTTGGATTCTGTTGGTTGCTGTGATATTCCTTTGTGATCCTTCTACTCCTGAGCTTAATATTCTAACATCTACTGCAGGTTTAAAATACTTTCCCAAATCAGTCATAATAAATACATTTGATTTGCATATGTATTATATGAAAAATACTGGCTTCTGTTTTTTCTACCAATACGATACTTTGGTGTTCCTTCCCCCAGTAATTTTAATTCATTAACACATCTATAAAATACTGGTGTTGAAAGGATTATTTGGGAATAGTAAATTAATTGGCAATAAATCTACTACTTTTACAAGTAAAGCTTTAATATCTGACTGTTTCTTAGAAATTGGCAAGGTTTCAAACTGGTGCACAATATAGATGTTAGGAAATTAAACATCAGTATATTCATTTTTAAAATTAATTACTACTATAATCTCCACCTAGATTTTCATCTGAGAGTTAAAAAATTACTGTATTATAAATATACCCTTTTCCTTCATTCCTGAGAAACCAGAAGTGTCTACTATTACAGCTGAATAAACTATTTTCCCCTGATTTTATGCACAAAACTATGCTCAAGTCAAACTCATTCACAGCAGTAAGTCTAGCTCTTAAAAATGCAAAGTGATCTTGAAATGTGAGCTTCATAAGAACTTTAACACTGATAATTTCTGAAAATCCATACACTTATTTAGGCACAATTACTACTAGAAATGGCCTCCAACACCCCAATTTAGATTAAAATCCTAGCTTGGCAGAGTCATAGTATTTAATAGGTGGAAAACCATTGTAACCTCAAGGCATGTTTAAATGATGTAATATTAGGTAGGGCAAATAGAGACATATGTGCTGATCCTGAGGCATTGTGTCAGCATGTGTTGCTGAAGGCATATTTGTATGCACTGCAAGACCAAAGACAAAAACCCAGGAATGATGAATTCAGTTACCACAGTTAATCTTTTAACTGTCAGGTATAAATGTTAGACATTGATCCCCTACTGAATATTAAATCAGTGGTTTCATAATTTCTGTTTAAAGCAGAGGGAAATTAACATAGTTTTTAGGGTTAGATCCAGAGAATCAAAAAGAAAAATGCAAAGGAATTTGTTAAATTGTGTTAAAAATGACCAGTCAAACTGGATACAAAGAATAAGCAGCAGTGCAATTTTTATTTGTATTTATTTATATAATATCTAAGTTTGAAGACCACAATATATAAGCAAAATTAAATGCCTAAAATTTCTGATTTTCTTGATTTTAGTATATTCCACTGTTCTATGGATAAGCCACCATACTTTAATTGTGCAGGCTATAACAATCACTCTCAAGGAAAAAACATTTTTCTTCTGTTGGTTCTTATATGATATATTAATTCTTTTCACCAGGTCGAGCAGAAGTTTGTTGTTAGATTTCATCATGTTAACTCCTGTTGCTTTAACTCTGTACATATGTTGTATGCTTTGGCTGGTGTAAAATTACTTTAGTTTGAATTTTTCTTAAATTTTTAGCTTGAAATAAATTGATCAGTTGGATGATCATTTCTTAAAATTCTTGATGAATTCCTTCTTTAAATGAGAAAATAAACGCTAAATGACACAAGTTTATGCCAATGACTATCATTTTATTTTGTTAAAATAGTGTAGTTGCCATATGCAACATGTAAGTTTGTCCTTAATTTTTCTGTAAATTAATTTCTACTTTCAGGATAAGTGAAAACTTCACAGTAAGAAGATCCAAATTGTATTTTGCATAATAATTAAGGGACCCTGAGAAAATTCTTGAATGATGACTCTTACCTATATCTCAGATACATTTTCTCTGATTCATAAAAAACTTTCCTACCCAACTTGCAAGGGAATCTGTTTTACAGAAATAGGTCTTTAAACTGTCTATAAAATTCCTGAGGGATGTTTAGCTGAAGATCTCAAAATTAAGGACAATTTGCAAAACAGAATAATATGGAGACAGCAAAACTAGCTACAAATAAACAAGTGCATCCAGATTACTATTATGCTCTTTCTGCCACACATTTTTGTTTATATATAATTTATATATACATATATATATATATGCACTGTAGAGCTGAGTGGACCAGTTCATTCATTTGCTTGAGCTTTGTGTCACAACTGGCACAACACTGTAGTTTGACAGTCAGATTCCAGCCATGTGAGTTTTCTCAGGTGGAGTGGAAGCGTTTTATTCAGTCTCTTCTTGAAAACAATCACAGGACATGAGAAACAACTTCTTAAATTTAGCAATTAGCTGCTAATTTGCAAGTGAGTGATTAATATTTTTAAAATATATTGGCAGATTCCTTGCTCTTTCTCAAGTTCAGATTTGATGGGTTTGATGGATTTGATGGACTAGATGACCTTAAAATGTCCCTTTCAACTGAAACATTCTATGATTCTTATGAGTTTTTTTATGGAGAAGATTATTCTTTTTGTCTCTCTTCTCTGCTTTTCTGTGTTCTTTATCTCTTTTTATAGTTCAATAACTTTTTCAACATAAAACATGATTTTTGTATTTAATAAGCCAATATTGTTTTCAGTGTTCTTGAGAAACCTAAGATCCTATTATTTTTCTTGTGTAACTTTTAATAACTCAACGCCAACTAATTTTTTTATAAGAGTTAGTTGTCAATATAAAAACAGATTTCAAAGCTCCTATTTAGGAGTATTTAGTTCTGAATATACTGTAGGCACTTCTTCATATATCATGATGCAAAACCAGTTTTTGAAAAAAGTTCCGATAACATGGTATTATCAACTATTTCTATTCAATGAGATTTTTATTTTATGTAGACATAGTGAATCCAGATGATTCAAAATAAACCCTTGCATCATATTTTTAAGCACCCTTTTTATCAATTTATGTAAATAAAATGAGTAATTAAGTTCTTTTAAACTCAGAAAAATCTTGTCAATCACATGAAACAGGAGTAGTGGGCTTTAGATTTTTTTGCCAATCTTTCTGTTTCACAGTGCTCTGCCCAGCCAATGAAATGCGTCTGGATTCAACAGGAGTAATACTGAGCCCTGGATATCCTGACAGCTACCCCAATCTCCAGATGTGTGCATGGACCATTACTGTGGAAAAAGGCTATAATATCAGCATGTTCTTTGAATTCTTCCAGACAGAAAAGGAATTTGATATACTTGAGGTGTTTGATGGTAACTATAGGATGCATAACTTTGGATAATTCTTTTTCTATATAATTTTATTTTTATATTGCATCTGGGTAATCACTACTATTTATGCACATCATAATTTTTCAGTACAAAAAAATCTTAAAGGACTAATTGTTTTGATTCATTCTGCTAAAAAGAATTGCTGGATTACAGTGTTTTGAAATTGTACTGCATAAATTATGTTTAGAAATAATTTTTTTTTTTAGCAAATATATATTTTCTAGTGTATAACATGTAATTTCAACTTCTATTTTTAATTTAAGTTAATTTGCCATTTGCTTGGAGGATGCTTTTTAAATATATATATATAAAATGATGAGCATATGATTTATTGTATGTTATTTTAAACTTTGTAACTCCTTTTTTCTTTTTTTTTTTCCCCTTCCTTTGTACCAAGGACCAAATAGTCATAGCCCATTGCTCATATCTCTCAGTGGGGACTATTCATCTTCTCTAAATATAACCAGTAATAGCCATGAAGTATTTCTCCGTTGGTCAGCAGATCATGGCACCAATAAAAAAGGTTTCAGGATAAGATATATAGGTATGTAATTGTGACTCTCTACAGTGTGTATAAAATTTCAATATGGAACATTTCTGTATGTGAAAAGAGTAAGATAAGCTATGTTTTGTATATTTAATTAACCAAACTGAAAGGAAATCCAATCTGTTCTATATATGAACCTGATGATTCTGATCTTGTGAGGAAAAAATACCTCACAAATGTGCTCTGTAGAGATTTAAGAAAATGCTTCACAGGTCTTTAAAATGGCATAAACCAGCACTAAAATTGAAAGAAGCTTTCCTCTTCTCTCTCCCAGCATTTATTTGCACTCGTGTGCCTCCTGGGGCGTTTTCCAAACTGGATTTTTATGCAATTCATTAACAATTTTGGTGGGACAGAGAAAGACATAGCAACAAGGCAGGAATGAACAGCTATAAACAGGAAAAATGTGAGACCCTGAAGGATTGAACTGTGTAATTTAAGGTTAAACAGAAGCAGCAAATAGCATTAGAACAGGTTAAGTAGTATGTAAAAAATGCCAGTATTGTGTGTGTTATTAACTCAAACTAACATAATGATGAATTATGTGTGAAAATGGTATTTGACAAAGGTAGAATTTTGTATAATTTGATTTACAGAATTATTATATAATAAGAATTTCACTGGAAAATCATATTAGTTCATCAAGGAAAAGTAGACCTGTTGCAATTTGCAGCAATTGCACAAAATCTATATCTGAGTATTTTATGATGACCAAAGGTATAAAATATACAGAATGAAAAGTACTAGGGATAGTATCTGTAGATATTAGAGAAGTTACTGGTGTAAAGCAATTTCACTTTACAAAGTTAAGAAAGAAATAGGGAATAAATATTAAATTCTTTCTGCTGTGTTGTTTTGTTTTTCCTCACTCAATTTTTGGCTCCTCCACAACTGTAATTATGAGCCTAAAAATAATTAGGCTCATAACATTTGGTGAAACAGCATCCTTTAGGAGAGGATAGTTTTCTCAGACTTAAAAGAAATTTCTCAGACTAGTTATCTTGTAGTTAACTAGATAATATGCACTGTTGACTAGACACAAAATCTTATATGGTATTTTCATTTCCTATAGTACCTGTTGGATCTGTTAAAAGAGAAAGAAGAAGGAATTCTTCAAACTCTTTCCCTGCAGGCAGCAAGAGAACTATTGAGAGGTAGACAGGAAATATTTGTGACCTGTATCAATCAGAAAATACCGGTGTATTTTCTTAAACACTAAAGAAGTCTTTATCTCTGATTCTTCCAAGACTGTAAGGCAGGAGAAATTTAGTGTAAGGAAGAAAATATTTTCATAGTATGTGCTCTGAAAGATATGGAAGTGCTTCTCATTTTGATCTTTGCTTTGATATGTTTAATATGTGTTTGTTGTAAACAAATTCTATTCTGCGTAGAGGAAGCTTTCACCTGAGAAAAATATTGACCTGAAGTAAGTCATGGAACATGGAAAGGCTTAAAGAGCAAGTGAAGCAGCACTTTTCTATTTGACTGAGAAAATAAATGCCAACAGTTATAAACATTCTTCAAAGCATAAAGGAAGCACTTGGAACTTCCAGCCTAATTTTCTTTTGTACAAAAAAGGAAATTGGCCATCTTGGCTAGCAGCCTTGAATCAAACCAATTAGAGACCAAGTTAAACTCTTACAGAAACAACATTTATCTTAAACTGGTTACCAGGTTACAAGAGCCTTCTAGTTCACTCCGTAGCCAAACCCAAGTGACCTGGTACTCATGGATTTAATGAACAAGGGAGAGAAAGGAAATATAATAAGCAACTAGTGTTTAATGTCAGAGAGTCTTGAAGTACATAAATAATTTCAGATTATAGCAATTTTATCTCTTAGAGATAATCTCATAAAGATTTCTGATTTTTTCCATAGTCTCTAAATAAGAAATCTGTAAGACTTTCTGTGTTCTAAATAAATCAACAACTAAAAGCAGATTCACTATTTTTACCATGGATTTATGGTGGCACTCATATTTATGATTAAAATATATATTAAATGTTTTGTGCACTTCAGTTCATTCTATCATAGAACTTGAAAGGAACAACTTATTTAGGACCAGAAAGAAAAGACTATTTGAAAAGAGTTATGTGCAGGATTCAATAGATGTTTCCTTCTTTCAAAAATTTGTATACTACTGAAATGTATACAATTGCAATAAATTTCATCATAAACTAAAATTCTGAAGCTTATTTGATTTTAAAAGAAGATGGTGAAAAAATAAAACAGAACAAACTCCCAAAATAATAGCCAGTTATAAAAGTGAGCTATCACTCTATTTCTTTTGAGGCTACTGAAACCTGAAGCTTATAAAGAACTTAAAACACCTTATTTTTTCACCTTTATATTTTGTCATATTGTTTGATGCATGCATGATCAGGACACAAAATAAAACTTTTAGTGGTGTTTCCTCAGCTTCTTATCAGATGTCCACTGAATTCAACCAGAATTTGTCAAGAATTGTCATCTGAATTTTAAATGCATATTTTATTCATTTGATATTTATGTTTAAAGCTCTCTACTGTAGTACTCCAGAGTCCCCTCCACATGGTTTCATTGTCAGTCAGACAGGTGGACAGCTCAACAGTATGGTTCGCTGGGCTTGCGATCGAGGGTTTCGGCTCATTGGGAAAAGTACTGCTGTATGCAGGAAGTCTCCATATGGTTATTACTCGTGGGATGTTCCAGTCCCAGCTTGTCAAGGTAAATTCTTTCATACAAAAAAAAAAAAAAAAAAAAAACAAACAAACAAAAAAAAACTCTAGGAAACTTTCCTTTTCCTTTTCTAAGTTTTCTCACTCAAAATGAATAGCAGGTAAACATTTCATGGTCATACTTCCATGCCAAAATTTTTTTTTACCTCATAAAACTTATAAAAACAAATGTGTTTTTAAGAAACAGTATTTCAAGAGAATTTGCTAAGACTGGTGACACTAAAAATAATCTACCTCACTCTGGGGGATCCTTCCCCCCAACAGACATTTACAATATGAAATTATTCAAAAAGTTCATTTAAAACTGAATATATTTAAAGTTCATTTATTATAATTCAAGAACTACATTAAACATAATAAAAAAGAAAGACCTGAAACTTACTACATTTCCAAGAACAGGAAACTGGACCAAGTTTCGCCTGTGATGCCATATTTTGCCTATGTTACCATTCTAATATTTTGTGTTTTAAATTGAAATTTAAAAGATAATTAATCAGCTTAACCATATATTTAATTTCTTCTGTCTTATAAAACCAAGCATATTCTACCTAAAAAGGAAAAGGAAACGATTATTTGATACCCACAACTGTATTCCAATTCTTCCTTTCATGAAAAGAATGCTGTTGTTCTGATAACTTGCCTATGTCTGTATTCAGTGAACTATTAGAATGGGCTTTTTTCATGAAAATTTGCAGATGTGTTTATTCAAAATGCATAGATTTTGTTCCAAGATAAATGCTATCTGAATGTTCCATGTAAATTTCCCCACAAGGTTTGTTTTTTGACAAAAAGTCTTTGTAATGTCTGTTTCTAAAGCAAAAGAAAAAAAGTTTGATAAACTTCTTACTGTATATGCCTATTTTTTTTTTTTTAAAGCTGAAAGTCCTCGAAAAATACAGGCGTGCATTTGCTACATATAATTCTTTGTCTTTTTCACCAAAGGACTGCCTTCATTACACTTATTTATAGAACTTGGTCAAACTCTTAATCAGTTTTATAAGACAATGTGGAAAGAAAAAAAACCAAAACACCAAACCAACCAACAAACCCAGCTCACCAAATTTGAATACCAGATGATTATTCTTAGCGTACTTAGTAGAGTTCAGTAAGGGAAATAGTTGCAATACTCAAGTAACACTTTAGGAACAAGTGAAGTTAGGTTCTTAGTACTTTCATGGTGTCTGATCAAGTACAAAGACTGTTGGCATACTGGAAATTATTTAAAGTATTTATTAATTGAATAACAGATAGTTAATTATAACTATGTGATATGAACTTTATTTGATTCTTCCTGCAAGTCCTTGTGCTGGAAAGTAGTTTCTGGACATGATATGTAGCTGCAACTCACAAAAGCAAACCCTTTGAATTCAACTTAAAGACACATTACTACAAAACACTTCAGAAATAAACTTTTTCCATACATCAGTCATATATCTAAGCTTCCTATTGTTTTGCTGAGGTGAAAATTATCCCACTGTGGTGGGTTGACCTTGGCTGGATGTCAGGTGCCCACCCAGGTGTTCTATCACTCCCCAGCTGGACAGGGGAGACAGAAAGGTGGAAAACCACTCGTGGGTATGAATAAGGCAGTTTATTAAAGCAGAAGCCAGGAGAAAACTTGCACACATGAAAGCAAAGCAAAAGATGACATGGTTTATTATCTACTTCCCTCCAGCAGTGGTGGTTGGCCGCTTCTGAGAAGCAGGACTTCAGCACGAGTAATGGTTCCCTAGCAGGCAGCCACTGGAGACACTGAATGTCCCCCTCCTGCTCCTTGCCTTAGCTTTTATATCTGAGCTGTTGACATATGTTATGGAATATCCCTTTGGTCAGTTTGGGTCAGAGGGCCTACTTGGGTCCCCTCCCTCGATTGAGGAGGGAATGTTACAGTGCTGGTGCTGTGCTCAGCTGTAGCCAAACCCCCAGTGTGTTATCAACACTCTTCTAGCTGCCAATGCAAAGCACAGCACTGTGAGGGCTGCTGTGGGGAAATGAACTCCAGCTCAGCCAGACCCAGTACACCCACACATCCAGATGATACAGAAGATTCGCTCTCTTGTATCAAAAGATTCAGAACACCATCAGCAGATATCCTTCATGTCCTTTCACAGAGGACACTTACAAGGCATAAAAGCTTTTCAATTCCCCCTACTGCTGAACAGTACAGCTTCACCACAAATTCTAACTCTTTTAAGTGTGGGCTAGCAGGTTTTTGAACTTCATGACATTGAGTATGAACCACTTGTTTTAACAAGTATTATAATTGTCAGTCAGAATTTGCCAACCATTTTTCCAGGTGATATCAGACAACATCACAGTCCTAACTTCTACTTCCCATTCTCTAGCATTTATAGCACAAATTGCAAAGCCATTTTAATCAGTCCTTTCACACTTCTGAATGTAGAATTGCCACAAATGATCATTTAACACAGATCAAAAAAATTATTAGGCTTTCTTTTTTTATATAGTATTCCAAGTTAAAAATTTTTTTTGCAATTTTGCAGCTTCTTTCAGAGCAACACATTTTATTTTTTTTTTCTGTTTGCAAAATTAAGACTGCCATTCAAATCACAGTAGTAGTAGTAGGAATTATGACTATTTCCTATAGGAAATAAGATATCTCAGGCCTCAAAATTATCTATTCTTTAGTGATACCTCTACAGTCTGCACGTCTATTGGATTCTGGTGTTTTGGTGGGTCTTTGTAGCAATACTAATTGCATTATTTGGAAAGCATTTCTACTTCCTTTAGATTATTATTATCTAGGAATATGGTTATCTAAACTAATTCTTGTCTTTACATTGTTCATTCTGTATCTTTACCACTACTGTTGTGAGTTGTCTTCTGTAATTAATGAACATCAATAGCCCTTTCCACTACAACTTTTTTTCCAAGTTAATGAGCAATGTTAGAGCAATTTTTAATGTTCTCATTCTTATACCTATTTGACTAAAAATCTTGATATCTGAACCTCTAAACAGATAGCACCAGCCATGCTTCATATCACTTACACAACAGGACTGGGAGAACCTGAAACATCCAGACAGTGTTTTAACCCTGTGTGAGAGCTTTTTTACATTATTTATAGAAATAAACATATCTCAGTGGAAGAGACTAAATGAAGTAGCAAGGAATCAAAAAGAAATACCTCAATCCAGACTTCAGCAATTAACTGAAACCTGGGTCTTCAAAATCTAATATTGTATCATATAATGGTAAAAATAATACAAATTATTTACCAACTTCAATGTTCTAACTTTTAGATATTAACTATTCTGTTTACATAGGCATGCAGGAAATGAACTATAATGTGACGTTGTTGTTACCTATGTATCCATTTAAATTTTAATGATATTAAGTCAAGAAAAGTTTCCCATGGTAAATTATAAGGTCTGATCATGATAAAGTTTTGAAAGAATGAAAAGATTTGCACTGATCTGAGTACAGGAATTAACATGAATTCATATAAATGGTTGAATATTTACAACTGATTGTAGATCTCAGTTGAAGAATCAAAGTGTTTTAAAGCATTTGGTTTTCTTTCAGTTATTTTTTACATTTGCATTTTTATCCCAGAACTGTATGATTCTTGATTTTAATTATGAAATATTTCTCTTGCAAATAAATATTGTCTCACAAAAGTCTCATCAGAAATCATTATTAGTCCTTTATAATATCATATATGGATAGTGGGCAAATGCTTTTACAGGAATTTTAGTCTGAGGTTTTAAGTAAGTGAAGTTTAAAACAGCATTATATCCAGAAAAGTTCCCTACCTCAGTAATCTAAATTGTCCATAAGAGCAGACACAAGTGTTGTATAAATGGTGATTGTTACACAAGCTATACTAAAGTATTAAAAAAATAAATAAATATAAATTAATGAATAATTAAATATAATTACAAGAATATATGCTTATATATGGTACATAATGAGTTCAGCTTTTATGAAAAATTAATGGTGTGGAACTAATATCTGATAAAGCTAACGCATAATCCTTCTACCTTCAGGTCTTTTAGAGATGAGTATAGGTTTGAGATAGTCATATTCATACACATTAGAACAATTAATATAGCTCTGTATAAGATAAGTATATTTATTGTAAGTATTATATTTATTGCACAGACAAGGCGATAGCAAATTCGTAATAGTTTTCTGTGATCTTTTCAACACAGTATGTCTGTACTGTGGTTTGTTTTGTGTTTTTTTGTTTGTTTGTTTGGTTTTTTTTTTTACATCTCATATGCAGGGGGTTTTTTTAGGGCAATAGAAGCATATTCTAACATTGATAGTACTACAGCTGGAAGCTGTTATAGCATTGGTGCTTCACCTGTGTCTTAGCTGTGGTTATTGCCTTTAGTATTGTTATGTTGCTTATGAAGCAGATCAGTTTTACGTCAGACCGACCCCCAGTAGGGGCAAAAATAGATTAATTTTTTTCCAAGTACTTATGTGTAGTCTGAGAGGATTAACTTTCCTGTGTAGGCATGATAGGTACTTTCTTATGGCTCAAGATTCCACTTCAAAGTAAGGTATTTCAGAATTAAGTGCCTAAGCCCTTTCCTTTCCCCCCCCCCCTTTTTTTTTTCTCTGACCTACATTAGACATATGGTGTTAGAAGGTGGAAAAGGTTTAGTTGTTTGGTGGATTTTCTTTCTGGTAAAAAAAAAAAAAAAAAAAAAAAAGAAAAAGAAAAAGAAAAAAGAGAAGAGAAAAAATAGCACACCTTAAACTTTTATTTGCATTGTTCAATTTTCTTCTTAAAGTGGTAGAGGAACCAGCAAAGAGAGGTGCTTTGCTGGACCTTCTCAGCAACAAGGAGGTGCTGGTGAGGAATGTGAAGCTGAAGGGTAGCTTTGGGTGCAGTGGCCGTGAAATGATGAAGTGCAAGATTCTTAGAGCAGTGAGAAGGGCAGAAGCTTGCTAACCTTGACTTCAGGAGAGCAGGCTTTAGCCTCCTCCAGGGATTTGCTTGATAGAGTACCATGGAATAAAGCCCTAGATTCAAGAGAGGGACAAGATAGCTTAATATTCAAGGATCACCTCTTCCAAGCTCAGAAATGCTGCATCTTGACAAAGAGGAAGTCAGACAAAACTCCAGGACACTTACCTGGATGAACAAAGAGCTCCTGGACAAACTGAGATACAAAAAGGAAACTTACAGAGGGTGGAAGCAAGGACAGACAACCTGGGAGGAATACAGACAAATTGCCCAAGCAGCTACAGATCAGATTAGTAAAAGAGCCCTGATAGAAATAAATCTGTCCAGGGTTGTCAAGGGCAACCAGAACAGCTCCTAAAAGAAGCCTAGGGAAAATGTGGGCCCATTCCAGAAGGAAACAGGAGACTGGGACACAGAGATGGCTAAGGTACTCAGCAAAGTTTTTGACTCGGTCTCCACTGACAAGTGCTTCATCTGTACTTCCAACGTAGGGGAGGCAAAGACAAAGACTGAGAGAATCAGTAATTTTCCACCATAGGAGAAGATCAGGTTCAAGCCCATCTAAGGAACCTGAAGGTACACAAATCCATTGAACTTGATGAAATGCACCTGTCAGTCCTGAGAGGAGTGCTGGAAAAAGTGGCAAAGCCACTATCCATCATATTTGAGAAGTTGTCGTATTCCAGCAAAGTTCCAATTGACTGGAAAAGGAAAAACATTCCCTTAAAAAGGGAACTACAGCCAGTCAATCTCACCTTGGTACCTGGCAAGATTATGAAGCCGGACTCCTCTGGAGACTATTCTAAGGCATATGGAAAACAAAGGGGTAGCTGGTGACAGCCAACAGGGCTTCCTTAAGGATAAATCACGGCTGACAAATTTGGTGGAGTTCTATGAAAGGATTACAGTGTTGGTGGATAAGGGAAGAGCAAGTATGTCATCTCCCTGGACTAGGGCAAAGCATTTGACATTGTCCTGCACGACAGCCTCGTCTCAAAAATGGGGAGACATGGATTTGTCTATGCATTAATCCATTGGAATTGAATCCAAGGAATTGAATGGATGACTACACTGAAAGATTTGTGATTAGTGGCTCAACATCCAAGTGAAGAGCAGTGATGAGTGGCATCCCTCAGGGCTTGGTATGGGGACTGTCCCCATTTAACATATTTGTCAGTGACTTGGGCAGTGGGAATGAGTGTAGCCTCAGCATGTTTGGCAGCATCACCAAACTGTGTGGTGTGATCAACACACTGGAAGGAAGGGATACCATCCAGAGGGACCTGGACAGTCTTGAGAGGTGGGTCTACATAAATCTCATGAAGTTCAACAAAGTCAAGTGCAAGGTCCTACATGTGGGTTGGGGCAATTGCAAGAACAAATACAGGCTGGGCAGAGAATGGATTGAGAGCAGCCCTGAGGAGAATAACTTGGTGTTGTTTTATGAGAAGCTCAACATCACCCAGAAAGCCAGGAATACCCTGGGCTGCATAAAAACTGGCACAGCCTGCAGGTTGAGGGAGGTGATTCTCCCTCTCTATTCCACTCTTGTGAGACTCCACTTGGAATACTGTGTCTGTCCAGCTCTGGTGCCCCCAACATAAGAAATACCTGGACCTGTTGGAGTGTATCCAGAGGAGGGTCACAAAGATGATCAAAGGCCTGGAGCACCTCTCCTGTGAAGACAATCTGAGAGAGTTGGGGTTGTTCAGGCTGGAGAAGAGAAGGTTCCAAGGAGACCTTAGAGCAGCCTTCCAGCCTAGAGCAAGCCTATAGGAAACCTGGAGAGAGACTTTTTACAAGGGCATGCAGCAGTAGGACAAGGGGGTATGGCTTTAAAATGAAAGAAGATAGGACACATCATGAAGGAATTCTTCACTGTGAGGGTGGTCAGGCACTGGAAAAAGTTGACCAGAAAAGCTGTGGATGCCTCATCCCTGGAAGTGTCGAGGCCAGGTTGGATGGGGCCTTGAGCAACCTGGTCTGGTGAAATGTGTCCTTGCTGATGGCAGAGCAGTTGGAACTGGAATATCTTTATGATCCCTTTCCACACAGCCCATTCTATGATTTGATGATTCAGTATTTTCAAAAGAGTATTTCTGATTTGCAGGTGGAAAAAATAGAATGTTGAAAGCTAATTTTAGTGCTTTGCCAAAGGTCACACAGTACATTTGATGGAAGAAATCTGAACTACCAACCATATTTGTAGTTTCTCAGATGGTATCTTACTCATGCAACCATGCTGGTTTTATTTTTTCCAGATATTCTCTATTCTCTTTTTGAATGGCTAGCTGCAGAGTTATGACCCATTTTTCTTATTTTCATTCTGCTCCAAAAGACAAAATCTTCGTTTGATTGAATTCCCTAAAATTTTAAGAGAATTTATTTGCATGCTTAAAACACATCTTAAGCAGTTTAAAAGTATTTTTTATTACTTTAAAACCATTGATGTTGCAATGCATAAACCGTTAGAGGTAAGTGGAAACTTATATTGAAGATGTAAAATAACTGTGTCTTTCTCTTTACTCAGCAATATCTTGTGGAATTCCTAAAGCTCCATTAAATGGTGGGATATTAACTACAGATTACTTAGTTGGCACCCGTGTTACTTATTTTTGCAATGATGGATATAGGCTATCAGCCAAAGAGCTTACTACTGCAGTCTGCCAGCCGGATGGGACCTGGAGCAATCACAATAAAACACCTCGATGTGTAGGTAAGTAACGTGTAAAAAGTCTCCAGTAAGAACCTGTATGTACATTTTATTTATTTATCTAGGGCATAAATCTTCACATTACTTAAACTTTCATCCTCAGGTTACTTTAATCTATGAATTATTGCTGGTATTAAATTGTTATGAAATGCATATTTGAAATGTATGTAACTAAGACATGCTGTGACAGCAGAAGAAATACTCTAGAGCTCATAGAATACAATCAAAGTAATAATTAATTTATGACTAAATCAAATTTAATGGTTGCAGAGGTTTCTACAAAAGCCATCTCTTAAGTTAGAGTTCCATAATTCACATACTATTAACAAACCCTATTTACTATCCAAAATTGCCAAATCTCTGGGAGGTTTCGCTGCTTATTATTTATATTCAGCCCATCATTATAGTCCTACACCATCTGAACTTAGGGGAACATCATTGCAGAGAAAGTGCATTTTTAGTCCCAAAGAGAAGTGAATACCAGCAGTTATAAATGTTGTATGAAAACCGAGGTGATTGTAAGACTGATACAGAAATGTCAGAGTATCTGATGCACATTAGGATTTGGATTATCTCACCCGATGAATTTTGGAAATTAAAGAAAAGATACCCTAGAGTAATTTTCAAGGATTTTATCTTTCAGCTTTTTCATTTTCTTGTTCTTTTAAATTTCATTCTGTCATGCATTTTCCTCTTTCTAAAGGACAAATCCGAATGGAGAAAAGTAAAGTAGGAAAAATTGTTATGATTGTTAATTTTTTTTTCTTATTATCTTAGAGTTGTATAATATTTTTGTTCCATTTCTGGAGGAAGAATACATAGAATGAAGACATGAGATTAAAAATGTATAGCTGCTGAAAAACAGCTTCAACATGGATATTATTTTATCTGTCACCAATGTGCAGCCTCTCAAATTTCATGGAGTTTGCCTCGGTAGAAAAATTATTGCTGCATTTAAATGTAGCTAACACTTTAATAAAGATTCTGGTGCCTGACATAAAGTGTCACAGGAGGTCCATCTTCAGTGAATTCCACCATGTTATAGCTTCTATCTACACTGATTGCATCACTCTGAATACACAATCTCTGCTCTGGCTAGATAATTATTAGTTACATGAGAGGACTCATACCTGCTAACCAAAGGCAATTTAAAATACAACCTTAGCCTTCAAAGATTATGGCACTGTGTTTAATATATATTTTTCAATTAATAACAGTACAGATTTTCTGAATTTGCCTGTACTAAGCCACAAATAACAATGTGTTTTTTTTATTTTGAAAGTTGTTACATGTCCAAGCATCAATTCTTTTACACTGGAACATGGAAGATGGAGAATAGTGAATGGTTCACATTATGAGTATAAAACAAAAGTAGTTTTCAGCTGTGATCCAGGGTATTATGGTTTGGGACCAGCATCTATTGAGTGTCTTGCTAATGGCACCTGGAGTTGGAGAAATGAGAGGCCTTACTGCCAAAGTGAGTATGTGTTGTATCTTCATCTGCTGTAAAGACATCAGAAAAAAATATTATATTAGGTGAATTAGAAAATAGCTAATTAGATATTTAAAACAGTTAATTAGGGCATATCTGTAAGCACACTTCTGGATTTTAAAGGTCCTTAAATTTATAAATGTAAAAGGAAGTAGTAGAGAACATTTTCTGATACATTTTTTAGGTCAGGAGTGCTGTATGGTCTAGAAAAATGCAAAACCTTTGTATATTGTCTGCATGCTCGAGAAATAAAACAATCTTTCCTTTCAGCTAATTACCATATAGTGTGCATTTGCACACATCCGTATCATTACTACCATTAGCTGGTATGCTGATAACATGAAGTAGTTAATTTTCAAAAAATAAGTAATGAATATTTAGATACTTAAACCAACTAAATGTGCTTCCCACACCCACCCCTGTGAAAAGCAAGTTTTTTCATACATTTAACTTTAGACACCTCTTTTTCAAAACTCTGGGGTTTTGGTTACATTTTGAAGTCCTAGAACTCCTTCTTTTTATGGAACACCCTGTGATGCACACTCTGACAAAGCGGGATATGATTGAGGTTTTGGTGCATGTATCGAAAATGTATCTGCACATTTGTATATAAATCCAAACATACTTAAAAAGTTTGTAGATGAGCCAGATAACTATGGCTTAGAATATATTTAGAATTTATTGACAATATACACAAAACTAATGAAAAAAACTAAGTTGAAAAATGCAGTTTCAAAACCAGGTATCATTACATTGGAAATTAACCTTAATTTTGATTTCTTTATAACTGGAAATATAATCTATAATTTTGAGTATTTTAAAAATTTAATCACAATATTTCACCTATGCTAGTATTAAAAATACTCTGTATATGTCTATATTGGTCTCTGTGTATATAGAGATTTTACGTACTAAATTTGTATTTTAACCTTTTTTTCTTTAAAAGACAAACTATTTTTCAGTGTTTTGAGAAGTTTTGTTTGAAATATTACCACTTTTTCTTAGGCATGAAGTGCACTAACTGCTTTCATCCTCTTATTTAGTAATAGTAAAGTTATTTTTATTATTAAAAGAAAAATAAAAGGAAAAATATTATTTTGAATGAAAAGATGCTTTGAATTGTAAATAAATAGCAAGGAATCCCATGAATATCATTCACTCTTTATAAAAATGCAATATGTGAATGCTGAGGTAAGCATTTTATTATGAACTAGAAGATCAAAACATCTACCTAGAGAAACATAATTTTAAAACTGAAAACAATTGTGATATTCTGATATGCAAGAAAAGTACTTGATAAAACCAAGGTAATAAAACTGAATTTAATAATGTTCTTCATGGCTTTTTTAACTTTCCAGAAGCAATTTTAATTGGTTTTCCTCCCTCTTTCTTAAGCGTTACTTCTTGTGAAGTAACAGATTTTCTAAGAAGTTTTTAATTTTTTTTTTCAACAGAACAAAATGATTCAAGGTGTGAAATCTGGTTGACTGATTGATAAGTATTACTGGTTGATAAGTACTATTATATGTGTGTTTGTGATACTTAACTGTATACTTCTGCTTTGTTTTGTTTTGGTTTGGTTTGGTTTTTTTTTGCCATGAAGTTATTTCCTGTGGAGAACTTCCTACACCTCCCAATGGAAATAAGATTGGAACTCAAATCACCTATGGATCTACAGCTATATTTACCTGTGACTCAGGATACATGCTAGTGGGGTCTGCAGTGAGGGAATGTCTGTCATCTGGACTCTGGAGAGGAATTGAGACGAGATGTTTAGGTATGGATACTACAGTCATGGCTTGCCTATTTTCTTTCTCTCTAGCAGACAAAAGTAAGCAAAGTGATCAGCTTGTCACTTTCTGTTAGAAGAGACATTGAAAAGAAATCTGCATGTATGTGGCTGGGTGGGTTGTTTTTCTTACCAAAGTATAAGAATTTATCAAATTATATAAATATCTTTTCAGAAATTTTAGTAGCTTCCCAACATGCAAAATCTGTGTTACTGTATTTATGTATGTGTCTTCAAAGTAGAACTATACATAAAAAGCAAGACAGACTGATTCCTATGTGTTTTAATACATATCCTCAGTGAAATATCTGCATAGTAGCCTAAGCTCAGTGGTAGTGTTATAGAATTAAACTGTACTCTTGAAAAGACACAGAAGGAGATAAAAAAGTTTGTGCAAAATTTGACAGGACCACTGCAGCCATGTTCCTAAGAGAAAGTCACTATCCAGCCACTATTTATGCAATTTGACACTCTTTACTTGTACATGTTTAGGTATCTTCACCTTTTTAAAATACTCAGACATCAGTCCCTGAATTATTTATGAATGAGATGAACACATGAAACAATTTCAGGGCTTCTTTCTGATTATTTTTATCTCATTATCTTGTGTACTTTGAGCTGGGTTGTTGTATTTACAGTAAAGACATTGATTTTAACTCTATATGCAATCACAATTTTAATTTCAATTGAAATCAAAGCTGAGATAGTATTCTGATTTAGAATGAAATATGTAAGTCATATTGTATCTTGTCATTTGTGGAGGCATGAGTGTACTACAAAAAATCCATAAACAGAAACTTTCAGAAAATCTGAACCAGTATATATGTTAAATATATACTAGGGGTTTGTTGCAATATCTCTTTGTGCAGATTGTCTTTCACCTTTTTAAACTACTCTCCATCTGAAATAAGTTTCCTTCTCTAATACAGCTTATTTGGTGCAAATCTGCACTTAAGTGAATGACTCATAAATGAGCAAAAATTTTGCTTATCAAAGTACAAGTCTGAAGCTGGAATGTTCCCTGACGTATGGCTGAGAGGGACAGTCTTTGTTTATTTTACACTTTTCACAGTAGAAACCATTTAGCAGAGGAGGGGGGAAAAGAAAAGATTTTCACGTTCGATTTTTTTTTTCTTCTAAATTGTCAGCAATTATAAGACAGATCCAAAAGTTTTAAGGCACCATAGTATTTGTGTAATCAAAATGTTCTGGGTTTTTTGTTGTTTTTCTTGCGGAGGGGGTTCTTTTTTTTCATGATTTTTCTGCAAAAGTTACAGCTATTGGAGTTTGGAGAAATGTAAATATTCATCAAAGAAATGTTAATCTAAAAACAGCCAAATTGCCTTCTATTTGTGAATAGGAAAAATGGAAAAATACTTGCATTTAAGAATTTTGCCAAAATAACTTCATGCCAAGTGAAGATCAGCACAGAGTGAATTGAATTTCTCCTACACTTGCCTGTAGAAATAAAAATGTAATACAATCTTAATAGTAGTAACAGATTGCACAGTCTTTACTTGCAACTTAAAGAAGACCCTTGCTTCTCAGAAAATATTAATTATTATTAAATTCATATGCTATAATGTCCAGGAACAATAACTAGTTAAGAAAACAACTATGTGACTGGAGGGGAAAACAGTAACCTAAATGACTTATATCAGACTGAGTACAGTAAATCTTTAAATGTATATCTTCAAAGATTTATTGATGGCAAATTGCTGAAGGTAGCATGAATAAATGTTTTACAGAGAGAAATAGAATGTAGTGTACATCGTATATATAGCAAGCAAAAAACCATGTAGACCTTGGCCAAAAAAAAACCCAAAAACACACAAAAAAACCCACAAAAAAGAGAAAAGCTAGTGACAGAGCAAATTTATAAAAGGGAGCATAGCTGCCCTAATTGCTTTTGCAACAACACTACCTTCTATGTTATATCCCTGTGCAGAAATCCGCTTCTTACAAAGACTCAGACAAACCCAGTTCAATTCTTGTTTCTTCCCCAAGTAATTTGAGACTTAAGATAGAAGGATGGGTCGAGCTAATGACAAATCAGAAGTCAGAAATGTTTTTAAGAAGGATGAGAGAGAAAATGCTGTTGGAAGGTGGAGGAAATGGAGGACTTTAAAGAAATATTAGAATGTGAGAGAAAGAAGTTAAAATACAGTGGGAAGATCTACAGAGTGGGTATTTTAATGGTTCAAGAAATGAATTTTTGTGCACCTTATCAGTAAATACTGGTGTTTGTTTTCAATAACTGAAAAATAGTAAGAAAAAGTCTATTTTCACTTTCTACTTTAAAGTTTTTTGCTCACAGCTGTAAATCTTTATCATTTTTACTTGCTGAGAAATGTATTTATGCTTGGACTGAGATGACTGCCAACGTATTTTTGTTTTAAGTTTTGAAGATGCCCTTCAAAATGACTTAGATGGCATTAATGAAATCCTACAGGATAACATACCCTTTTCCAACAATTTTGTTTCAAAATACAAGTAATTTTTTTCAAAAGTGTTACTCAAATGATTTCATGTCATTGCTGTGTTAGACAGCTTGATCTTCATTCCAATTATGTGCAATTTGAAAAAAATTATGGGAGGTGAAATAATCAGGAGTCTAAGTATCTGCAGCAGAACTTAAAACTAGTTCATGTTGAACCTAATAAGATATAGATGAGAACTATAACAGAAGTAAACTTTATTTCACAGACCTTTTTGATCTTTTTTTTCATTCTGTCTTCTTTTTAAAAAAAGAAAGATAATACTTTATGGATATTGAATCTGTTGCAAAAATTAGAACATTTAACATAACTGAATCTCACTTTTTTTTTTCCCTTAAAGAATACCTAAATAACAATGTAGAACTCCACAGGTCATCACATAATAGTCCCAGTTTTAATACAGTGTGGTAGGAAATTGAGTTCTGGATCTTGTTCTCTATAGCTAGTGAGAAGAAACTATTCTCAAATTGAAGAAAAATAAACAAAACAAAGTAATTCTGTTGTCAAAATTTTCAAAAAAATTTTTCAAAATATCTTATCATGAAAAAATATGAGAAAAAATAATTGTAGTCTTTTAGAATAAAATAACAGGCAAGATAAAAATCATGACTGTTGTGTCTTCAAGGTTACAGACTGCCCCTCACAATTTATTGTGCTTGATCATTTTTTATACTGAAAACACTGAAACAGTTTCTGAGGGAAAGTCTGTGTAATAAATCCTGGTGAAACATTCAGAAACATAGAGCAGATTTTTACTGAATATCCTACTAATAAAAAGAGACTGAAAAATCTGTGATTTTGTTATACACTTTCCTCTTTAAAAATATTTAAATATTCAAAAAATAAATTAATTTTGTGTATATTTATATGAAAACTTTGCACATTTACATTATTTTCTTTATTTATGACATTAATTTTATTTGCTTTAATTCAATGACAGGATTAACACTGATCATTAAAGCATATATTTTCATACCTATATAAAGTTTTAATTTATTTTTAAATGTATTTCTTTTAATGTTGTTATCAGATATTTATTAAACTAGGCATTTCCTAGACTGAAAGTAAATAGAGTCTACTTTAATAAACTCCATAGTACTTTCAGATTAACTTTTGGAGTAACTGGAATGTGAATGATGAAAAACATTTCCAAAGATTTAGTAAGATTTCTCTTACACTGAAATTTTTCTCCCTTTCCTCATTAGCACTATTTTCAATTTTTTTTTTTTTTTAATAACTCAAAGGATCATTATCTAGCTATCAGATCATTACTTTAACACATCATGATTTGAGGATCAGAACTATTTTTCCTTTTTTTCTTTTTTTTTTTTGCCCCTCGAGGAATTTTTTGGATGTCATTTTTTTTAGCTTTTAAAATATTTCCTGTATTATTTTGGTTAACATTTCAGAAAGCCTAGTCCAAAACACTTAAAAAATAAAACTTAAAATTCTTCTTATATATAATGGAGCAACTGTTTTCTTAGATTATTTTAAAGCATTCAGATGTCATACATCTCTTTTGGAGGTATGTAATTTAATTGAGTTTCTCTCAGTTATGTGACCAATAGTAATTTTAAAACATGTTTAGACATCTCATCAATGAAAGCCATGTGAAAAAACAGGGACAATTATGATTTTTAACCAATAATTAAACTCATCAGAGGGAAGTTATCTTATGCACACTTTTCTTTTTTGTTGATTGGTGAACTTACTCCATGTTCTCACGTTTCTTGAAGTTGTGACTCTGTCCTCTTCATCTCAGGTGTACTGCACTTAAAACTTTTTACTTAATTCCTTCTTCTTTCCCAATTCCTCTTGACATCTAAACATATTGATAGAACAGATTAGTTTATATTTTCTCATTTATTTACGAAAAGTTATTGCTGTTATTTCCTACAGGGAAAAACTCAGCAACTGTTGGAACAATAGTTTGTTCAGTTCTGCAAATTAGTATTAAATCTAAATTCAATATAAACAATGAAATGTAATTATATTACTTTAGTTATTGTAGTTATTTTAGTTCACTTGGAGAGCTAGAGACACCTTTATAAAATGCTAAATATCCATATGAATAGAAATGTAGAAATGAAGAATGGAGTTTGTTTGATGAATAAGGCATAAAGTGTGGTTCCAATACTGGGCTAATACTAGAGGAGTTTTCAATACAAATAGGTAGCAGAAAAAGCTGTTTAGGTTAGAGGGTACATTAAATGTCAGCACTTGTACATCCCATATAATAATATCAGGAATACCTTTAATCTCTTGTCCTAAGAGAAATACTAAACCTGTGTCTTTGTCTGCATTAACACATAATACAGCAGAAATAATAGATCATGAGGCAAATAATTGATTGTGAATTCTCTACATCTGCATTACATGTTTAAGAGAATTGTCCTTGGACTGTATTTGGTCTCGTCCTCCAGGCTAAATGTCATCGGTACTCATATAATTCTAAGTTGTCAAAAAGACCTGTCAATAATGTTGACCTCC